GGATAAAGGCTTGATGTTGTTGTTGTTGTTGTAGGATAAACATATATGAGCCTATATACAGGCAAGCGAAGAGAAAAATCAAGCAAAGTACAATAAAGAAGAATATCCTTAATAATGACATAAATATTACAATAATAAAAATTGAAGATTCCAACAATAATAATTATCATATTTGATAGTTTAGATAAAGTGACTAGTATAAATAGGCTAATGAGAAAAATAAACATATTTGTCAATCTAGCAGAAATTTAATTATTTCAAGAAAGTAAATGATATGGCTTGAATGACACTATAATGAGATGCTTAATTATGCAGTTGATTACAAAGCAAAGGAGGGAGAAATTCCAATTTAGTTTAGATTTTGGTTACAAGCATTCTAGCAAGTATATCTCAGAAATGATTGCATTAATTTTTAGTTGGATCAATTTTCATCGGATAAAACCCTCTTGTAAAATTCAGATCAACCACCCAATTCATGTTTCGCTCACAAAGACAATTAGAATATTCAACTAATTCAACTTATGATCATAAGAGAGTTGTTAACAACCAAGGTTTCCCTTACCAGCAAACACAAAGTGGAAATCAGACTTAGGCTTCGTTTGGGACGGCTTTTTTTATTACTTCTTAAAGCGGATTTATAGTACAAAATTAAAATTTTTATACTAGAAAGCCGTTATAAGAAGCAGTAAAAAAGCCATCTCAAACGAAGCCTTATTGTCGTACAACTAGAAACAATTTATTTAACGTTTCACAAAATTTCCCACGATAAAAAAACCAATAACACAAAATGCTTGCAAAACGGGCAAGTGCAATAGCATCTTAGCATGTACCTGTATTTTTCTGTATATATACCAAAAAGGAAATATGAGAAGTAAGACGACAATCTGCAGTAAGAATTAGAACACTTCTCAGACATTGCAATAATAATAAAAATAAAGAAACACCAAACCATGGCTGCAGATTTATATAAATTCACCTGTGCATATGATAAAACTACTGCAATGCCCACAAGGCTTAAGAGGTTTGCTAATAGAATGTTAAGAATAAATGGAAGGGAATCATCAATCATGTACAAATCCGAAGAAAACCTGTAACCGATACAGAGCATTAAGAATAGAGAAGGTACTACAACTTTAACATTATAAATCATATACCTATTAAGTATCCTTCCACTTGGATTACGGTCAAAGAATTGTACAGGTGCATTGACAATTTTGCTCAAAAGTTCAAGATGCACCTGTACTGCAGCTCTTAAGCCACCATATGCAAATGAGAAAGCTCTTGCGAATGTTAAAATGGAATTGGCAGCACTAAAGATGCAGAGTATTACCTAAGAAGAGAACAATAGAGGAGCATAGTGACTCTATGCTGATAAAAACATCTTTAATGAAATCAACCAACAACAACAAGACTGAGCCTCAAGCCTTAACTTGGCAACTTTTTTTTTTATAATTATCATAGATAGTCTTGATTTATATTGTATTTTCTTCACAAATTTTGATTATTTCAATCATTACCAGGTAAAAGGCTGTATAATCTGTTCCAACTCTGGCATCAACCCAATAAGATAACCAAAGATCATTTCCATTGCGAGATGCTTGCATAAAAATTGCTGATAAAGCAATCAGAACAACAAGAGGCCAACCAACAAATGTCGCATAGCTTCTGTGAGGTAATAAGAATCATGAAGTAAATGAGAAGTTGCAATGCTGTAGAGATTAAAGAAAAAAAAGGTACTAGAGGTATTAACTTATGTGCACCTTCAAAAACAGTACTCCATAAATGTTTGACTTACTTATAGACATCAAATTCAACTCTGCCCTCTTTCCTGAACTCTAATTCTGCAGCATCTTGAGTTTGATCCATAGAAACTATACAATCACTTCCCTGTTCTCCGTAAGATGTTATTTCATCCAGATCACTAGAAATACTTTTTTCCCCTGATAACTCCACAGATGAAATTTTGGAGTCTTCGAACATGGATATCGTTGAATATGGGGATGACAGAAACCCATCGAAGCTCCCAATCCATCTTACATTTCCTTTATCCATGACAACAATTAAATCTGCAGAAGCAATTGCCTTTCCAGAGAAGAAACAAAAGGAGTGTAAAATATTTACATAAATAATTGGAAAGAAAGTTATTTCATGACACCCTTCATCAAACGCAGTGTTATAAACAATAGAAAAGGGTAGCACCACTGTAAGTCAGGAACTTCAACTATATACAATCAACATAATATAAAAATTGCATATTTTTGTAGAGAAATAATATGCAGGATGGATTGAGGGAAGACCAACCTGAGCGTTATGTGTACAAAGTACACGTGTCTTCTGGTTAGTCAAAGGACCCAAAAGTGCTTTGCTTAGAACCCAGTTAGCAACATGTGAATCAACAGCACTCAATACATCATCAAGCAAGTACAGCTCAGAGTCGTGATATATGGCTCTACAAATATTCAAAAAACATGTTAGTTAATTAAACACAATTTTGATGCTATGACCACAAATAGTGATGGGGCATTTGACCTAGCGAGTGCAAGACGGGCCCGCTGACCCCCAGATAAATTGAGCCCTTTCTCCCCAATATATGCCAAATCACCTCCAGCCATTCGCGAAATGTCAACATCGAGTGCACAGGCATGCAATACTTCCCCATACCTGTTTCAGCAAAAATATCAGATGAGTGATAAAAATAATTCCAACAATATAAATGAAGAATGCAAATCTGGATGTAAATATAAATGAGAATGCTCAACCTAAATTTAAAATATTCATTGGCATGCAAATATGTAATCGAGTTATATGTGGATTTAAGTAATAATGTCTTCCCTCAGGAATATTCTTATAAATGGTAGAATGCTGACCGTTGAGTAATAATTTCCTCTCCAAACAAAATATTATCACGTACTGAACCTGACTGTATCCATGGTACCTGCATCAGTACTTTGCAATAATCATGAGAGCACTGCAAAAGCTTGAAATAATTACAGAATAAAAAGGAAACAAAAAAGACGCTACAGTTATGTAAATGATCAATCTAGAAGTAGCCAAAAGTAACCTGTGGTACGTATGCTGTAGATCCACAGGAATGTATACACCCATGGATAAGTCTCATTTCTCCCAATATAGAGTTTAACAAGGATGATTTACCTGAGCCAACCTGGAGAAAAAAAATAATCAACCAAGTTAGAAAAACAATGTATATTACCAAAAAAAACTCCTAAGAAAAAGTTGACAAAAAGATTAAGATGACCCCACATCAGAAAAGCTAATACAACCAAATCTAAGGTGTAAAAAATACATTAGTACTAGAATGATCAATGAAATCAAATTACATCAACCAAGAAGTGTTGCAAATAACTATCGGATTGGTAACAGTACTTCAAACACAAAGAATATCTGCAAATATAACTTCAAAATTAGAAAATGAGAATTTCAGGAAGAAATCACTCTAGAATAGCATAAAAATAATACGGTAAAGTAAATTATAGATTGATCCAAAATAGTGAAATTGAGTTAGCTCTAACAAAATGCGTAGAAAGAAGACTTCAGGTCTAAATGAGATACCTGTACAGATTTGAAAACTCATGGAGGATATTGTAGTAGTTTTGTCAACAAAGCTTTTTAATAAAATTTTAAAAATAAAAAAGGATGTCAAATGATAGGAAAAGAGGCATTTTGGAACCAATATTTAACAACAAAGCCACAAAGGTGATATTTCAAAATTATGCTAACTATAGAAGAATCGAATTTATGAGTCATACAATGAAACTATAGGAACAAGTAATGAAACATAAGCTTTGAAAAATTATAATTAATTTAGGATAACTAATTTGATTGCATGCCATGAAGATCAAATATTGAAGCAATTTTGCATTAAGACAATCAATAAATAAATCTATTTAGTCAAAGGAGATAGTTGCCCCTACCTGACCGAAAGATCCTTGTAGGTAGTCATTGATTGCTCATTGAATGATACCTTGTAGATATAGGGTGAATGCTTGTCTAAGAGGACAAATCCAATTTGATCTTAGCTAACATACAGCTTTGTGCCATATTAAATATACTCTATGATCCATTAATCAAGAATTTTTAGCCATTAGAGAATATACAAGCTCTAGCCACATTCGAAATTTAATGCTACCTTTACGTGCCAAAATCACCGGGTCAGAAAGTGTTAACCTAAGGATAAGACCAAAAACTCAGCTCAAATTACATACATAAATCCATGAAATCCCCTGTAATCTCTCCCGAAATTCTGCAGGAATCCCGCCGAGGTACTGTAGCACGACGCCGTTTACGTCGTCTCCCGAAAATCCCTCGCAGACCTCGATAGTTTCTCTTCGATGGCTTTAAAATCCAGCCAAACGAAGCCTTTCGGCTCCTGCTCCACGCACACGACCTCCTCCTGATTCCTCCAACCCACCTAGCCATCCGTCTGCATCTCCCTCTCCGACCAAATCCCTCCAAAAGCCCGTCGCCTACATCCGACTCCACGAGCTACCTCTCACCTTCAAGCAGCCGAAGCCAGCTCTGGGCTCCAGTCACCTCTCGTTTCTCCGACCGAGAGAGAGAGAGAGAGGAGTCTCCTCCTTACCTGTGACCGAAGTCTTACCCTAGCCTCCTCTCCGCCTTCCGTCAGTTCACAGAGACAGAGAGAAAGAGAGAAAGAGAGGGAGAGAAGAAGAGAACCTTCTCTACCTAGCCGAACCCGAGCTTCCATTCCCGATCTCCCTTGCTGTAGCCAACTCGACGCCAGCTTCGACTCCTCCGCCTCCCTCGACAGCGTCCCTTCTTGCTCGGACCGAAAGTTACGACATTTTGAGCAGAAGTAGGGATGAGAGGTTGCTGGCCGAGAAGGTAACTTTCCCCTTTTCATTCGTTTCTCCAGCCAAATCTCGTGAGCCATCAAACCGAGATGAGGGAAGTAGAGGATTTACTCTGCCGTGAGATTTATCAGGATTTGGCCTAAATCCTGTATAAATTTTACTTAATCATGTATTGTATATATTTAATTAATCTATAATTAATTATATGATTGAATATAATTAATTATATTTTAAAATATAATTAATTATAATTGATCTATAATTAATTATAAATTAAAAATATCTAATTTATAATTTATTTTAAAATTAAATATAATTATTTATAATCTAATTATAATTAATTATAATTAATTTATAATAAATTATAAGTTAAAATTAATTGATTTATGATTAATTTTAAATTAAAATGCGGTGGGATGGGACCCCGGTGCAGCACCTACGGCGATGCGGGGTCACTCATAAGTACTCCCGAGCGGGGGGAAAGCAAACTACCTTTTCATAAAAATGCTTTTTAAAACCCCATGCACGCCTTTGTTGACGTGGTGGGAGAAAAAAATAAAAAATCACTGCCGCGGTGTCTCACAAACACCAACCGTGCACGTCTTTGTTGACGTTGCAGGTAGGCGGCCTCTTGGTTTTTCCCCTAAATGGGGGAGACGCCGGGAGGCTGCCGAAATTTTGTCTGAAATAAAGGCAAGGACTTGGAACAATTTGGGACTTACAGACTTGATTCAAGTGATCTAAATGAACTTAAACTCAAATAAGTTTGAAAAAAAAAATAGAAGATTTGAGCTTATACTTGATTTGAAAATCAAATGATGAATACAAACGAACCTTAACTCAAGTGAACTTGAGTTTGATATTTGAACTCAACCAGAGGACTAGTGAACAAGGTGAACTTTGACATTAAACTCAAACTTGTGGATATAGAACTTGAACAAAGAACTTGGACTATAGGAAACTCAAACGAATGAAGAAGACTTTGGTTTGGATTCAATCTGAACTTGAAAGAAGAATGACTCAAGATTGTGACTTGGGACAATCATAAAGAACTTGACTTGAAAATGATATTAAAACTTCAAATGGAATGTTAAGGAATATGTCATAACTTGAACCCAAGTGAACAAATGCAAATGACCCAATGTGGACTCAAACTTGCATTGAACTCAAAGATGACACAGAACTCAATTGATTCATAAAGAGTTCAATTTGAGTGATTATAAAGATAAACTCAAAGATGTCAAACAATGAACTATAGTTTAATGAAATGGGAGATGCAATGATGTATCTACAATCAATAACAGAGTTTCAATGAAATATCAAATGATCAACATACAAACATCAGTATGTGAATCTACCACATGAGTTCTCTTCAAAATCAACAAAGGACCCATGATATATGACATGCATTCAAATAAACATCAATGAAGGAGCTTCAAAGAATGTGATTTGGAGGATAATCAATGTTCCTATGGAATTATCATTCTAATTTGGATGCAAATCCTAACTAAGAAAGTTTCAAGTCATTCAAATCTTATACAAAGCAAGCAAGTACTCATGTATAAGAAATTTCTGACTTGCCACTCATGAACAACGAAGTTAAGGTGATTTGTAAACATCGTATCAAAACTTTGTGAATCATTGGGGCTAATGAGATACCAAAGTTGGGTCTATTTCACCTACAAGTGATGAGGGCAAGATTTAAACTATTCATGCTTACAAGATGAATGGAGTCCACCAAAGAAAATGTACGCTTATGAGAGACATGTAATAGTAGAAGGTACATTTGTGAGGAGCACAACCATGATGATTTGATGACAATCTAATTCCAATCAAATGAGCCGATTCTCCACAAAGCGAAAAGGGGAAACTAGTATCATTTGAATCTTGAATATGAAAGATATGGAGCAATGCATTGAACTTCTACGGCTTGCACTAACTAAAAATGTTCTAGTTATTTGCAAGATAAAGAAATTCGTAGAGGGTGACTGCAATGACAAAATAGCACTCCTACCATCAACATCAGAGCATAGACAACCATTTTCAATCTTGCAAGCAATGAAATTGGAAGGGTATCTATAATTGATTGCAAGAAAAGATCAACGATGCAAGTCCACCATACCGACCACGAGCAAATATAGAAGAGTTCTCACTCATATAATGGTCTACTTATGGGTGATGACGATTAATGTGCGGTAGATGCTAAATCATCCATACAGTTGATAGCCACTCAGTATTAGTCAAATACATCAGCCTTCTACAAGCAAGGATCAAAGATCTGCAACACATACAATTTCTCTACGAAGACAAATGTATGTGCCACATGCCACTAATGGGTAGATGCAGAAAGACTTCAGTAAATGCAGTATCGTGTAGTCAACCTCAGTCTACAAATGAAAAGAATACATTTACCTACAGCAATAGTGGATGTGTTGTGGGGACCAGAACCACAGCGAAATGCATAAAGATTGTGGCGAATGCAAGCTCCTATGAACTATCATAGGAGATATATTCTGCACCCAATATGTTGTTTGCAAGAAATACAAAATACAAGATGACTACGTCAAAATGCAAATCTCTATGGGCTATCGTAGAAGACCTTTCAAGCATTCCAAAAATATCCCACACAAGTGCACCATAGTCTGTATACACATAGGTACACAAAGGGATAAATATAATCTGAAACCCGCATGGGCCCCGGCAAGCGTGTTATTAGTACACACGTGACGTATAGGAATGCTGTGCGGGTTATTAAATTTGAACCTAATCCTCCTAAGTAGGTAAAAATGAGTCGACAGGGTTTAATTATAAAATGCCCCCAAACACTCGCGTGGGCCCCGGCGAGCGTGTTGTGCAAACACACGTGACGTCTAGGGATGCTGCGCGGGTAAATAAGTGAATTCGAATTCGAACCCGATTCTTCTATACGGATCAATAGGAGTCGACATGGTTTGAACCATTAAACAAATATACAGTTATGGCGACTGTTATATTTGTCTTTATACATTCATATTAGGCCTTCAATGCCTATAACAATGAGGATTCACTATCAAGGGCATAAAGCCTACGATGTAAAACCCGAAAATGGCGCTTTAGTCCTCGCACG